ACCAAATAATAGAGCAGTCATCTCCCGTAGAGATGGGCAACGCACGAACACACACTGGCCTGGACGTAAAATTCTTTTCCGCTCCTTCTTGAGTTGCGTCGCCACGGGGTTCGCGCTGTCGCATCTCCCATGAGCGGGTCGGTAGCGCTCACCACGGCGCAGCTACGAGAACTGCAGCTGCGGCGTGAGGCCGTCGCGGCACTGCAGCGCGACCGGGGCCTCCTCCAGCGCTGCGCCGAAGCCGCCGGCCTGCCGGCGCTGCTTCCCAACTTTGGTCTGCCGCATCTCATCGTGCGGCTGCCCTGCTTGCCCGCCGGCTCGACGTGTCCGAGCCATGCGGCTGCGCGGTTGCTTCGCGTCGAGGACGACCGCGTCGAAGTGGATCTGCTGCACGAGCCTACGGCCAACTTGCTCCGCCTGAGCGACGCGTCCCACCGATCGGGACCGTGGGCGCTCACAACCAGCGTTGCGCAGCTCTCAAGCGACAGCCTGGCCGACGAGGAGCTCTGTGCGCTGCGCCCGGGGGCGCTCAGCCTAACGCTCGACCACCACGCCCAGCTTGCCGAACTGTGTGCCAGGCTCGCCCAGTTCAGCGTGAGCGACGTGCGCCGGTCGGTGGGAGAGCACTCCACTGCGTCGCCCCATGCGCTCGACCGGCTGCTCAAGGATGAGAGCGGCTCTGGGCGCGACGCGGCGGCGGCGGATCGGGCGGCGGCGGGGCGGGCGGCGGCGAGTCGGGCGGCGGCGGATCGGGCGGCGGCGGATCGGGTGGCAGTGACACAGGCTGCGACGGTGCGGGGAGCGGCGGCAGGCAGGCCGTCGACCGCATCGGACCTCGCTCCATCGGCCGCCGCATCAACCGGCGAGAGCGGCACGAACGGCGACGCGCTCAGCCGCGCAGCGCCGCCTCCGGCAGGGTCGCCAGCCAGCAGCAGCGACAAGTGGGGCAGCAGCGACATGTGGGCAGAGTCCTTTCCGGAGCTCTGCCGGCTGCTCGTGTCGGGAGCTCTGCCGGTCGAGGTGCTGCACAACAACGAGCGCTCGTGGAAGGACGCCCCCCCGCCGCTGCGAGAGAGCGCTCGCGACGAGCAGGCTCCGCTCATGAGCCCCGCTGCTTGCGCGGCCCACGCGGGCATTGCGGGCGCCGCTGCGGGCAAGGCGGCGTGTCGGCACGCACCCGCCGGCGGCGGGGCTCAGCTGGCGGCGGGGCCCGGATGCGAAGGTCGCGTCGCGGGGGAGAGGACGCGCGGCCTTTCGGGACGCGGCTGCTCGCCCTTCGTCAGCTCGGCCTCCCAGCGGCGGCTTCGCGCCCGTTTCGATCCGGGTTGTGACCCGGTTTATTCTCTGGGCCCGCCTGTTCGGGCAAGGGTCCCTTCACTTCGCCTGGTGGATCCCGCTTTGAGCGGGCGCCAGAAGAGGGAGCATATTTGGGTGTGGAAGCAGGCCGTGGCGCGCACGCTCCGCAACTTGGACGCGGTGGCTGCGTGCGCTGAGGAGGCGTCGAGTTCCGAGTGCCGCGACGACGGCCTCCGTTTCGCCGTCGGCCAGCTCGTGGTGTGCCTCCCCTACGGCCGTGCTGGGGAGACTTTTTCGCGCGCTGGGGAGTGGAGCACTGGGCGGGTGACCCAGCTCCGACCGACCCGCCTCGGGCAGCAGGCTGCGTACCAGGTGGTGCTTCGCCACGGCTCATATGTCTACCCTCCGGACGACAGCGACCTCCACATCCGCGAGTGGGCCCCGGAGCCTGGCATAGCGGGCGAGGTGCAGGTGGGCATGGAGCAGGCGGATGCAGCATGGAGCAGGGCGCCGTCTCGGCGCAACATCGCGGCGGTTCTCTCGGCGGAGGAGACGGCGGCTTTGCTCTCTCCGGTCGGCCAGGAGCTGCTGCGCGTGGCGGCTGAGGCGTTCGACGTGCCCGTCGAGGAGGGCCACGCCTATCGCCTGCTTCGCGGCTTCATAGTACGCCGCCGCGCGGCGGTGCTCGACCCTCGCTTTCCTCTCTACTCGCCGGCGGTCATCCGCGACGTTTACCCGGACACACGTGTCGCCGCCGGCGCCGCGGCGCCGCGGTGGCTGCTGGAGCTCACCGTCTGGGACGACCGTGGCGCCGTGCGTCGCGACGAGCCGCCGAGGCCGCTGCAGTGCCTGTCCAACGTGACGGGGCGCCACGAGATGCTGCTACAACCGCCTCAGGCTGTCTTCGATCTCGGGATGGCACTCTCGTGCGGAGAGGGCTCTGCTATTCTGGACCACCTCGTGCGGACCGCCCGCTCAGGGGTCGAGGCCATTGACACGTGGCGCGAGCTGCTGCACAAGGCGCAGCTGGTCGAGGACGAGCCCGTCGCTGGCGCGACGAAGCTCGTCATCGTCGGCTGCTACTCTTACCACGCCGTCTTCTTTTCGCGGCTGAACAGCGCTTGGCCCTCGCTCCTCGCCTTCCTCACGCAGATTACGGACCCCGCGATGGAGGCGTCGCACGCGGCAACCTGGCGCCGTTGGCTCCTTGAGCCGTTCGACGAGTGGCCGGCGGGGCGGCGCAATACCGCGGGCGTATTCCAACCCGGCTACCGCGAGGTCGCGGTGCTATGGCTGCGGTGGCTGCTCGGGCCGGCGGCGCGGCGCACGGGCTTCCGGGCGCTGCGCGCCTATCTCGCGCACGAGGCTGCGCTGACGCCCGACGAGCACAGAGCTCGCGATGACGCCGGCCGCTTCAGTTTGCCACGGGCGGCGTGCGACGCGTTGATCCGGTCCGTCGGCGAGCTCACAGAAGACGGCTTGATGGAGAACCTGCACGACCCCGCCTGCAAGGCGTGCGCCGTCTGCTCGCGCGAGCCGCGCAGCTGTCCGCACTTGGCTCAGCTCGAGCCGTGTCGGGCACTGGCTGTGCCAAGAGTGCCTGGACGCCTGGCAAAGGGCGGCGGAGGCCCCCGGGCGACCAGGGGAGATGAGATGGATATCACGGATGACGCCAATAGTTCTCCATGGTTTGCCCACCTCAACGGGTGCC